ATTGCTAATGTTAATTGTGTTTTGGTACTGATTCAACTTCTCTATGTATTCCCATTTCACCAAACCATTTTTGGAAATTAGAACGCGTTGCGAATGTAAAGGGTGATACGGTCAAAATTTGGTCAAGGGAAAACGCGTGTAAATCGGTGAAATCGTTTATTTAAAAAATCAAATTAAATTTCTTTTTCAAGTTCAATTAGTATAAAATTCAGGAAAAATATTCAGTTAGGCTTCCGCTTTTCCAAATCCGAATTGCCGGGTCTTACGCTTGACCCCTGCCATCAGATTTTGTACAGCCACCTTGTCCACCTTCTTCGCCGCAGAAAGCCAGTTTGCCTTGAACTGCTGCTCGCCCTTAGCAGTTTTTTTGGTCTTCTTTAGGTTCCGCTTGACAATAGCCCAGTATTTCTCAATTGGGCGGAGCTCTGGCGTGTTGGGAGGGTTCTTGTCCTTGGGAACCACCTGCACGTTGTTGGCGGCGTACCACTCCATGGCCTTTTTACCGTAATGGCAAGATGCCAAATCCGGCCAAAACAGTACGGAACAACCGTGTTTCTTCAGGAAAGGCAGCAGACGTTTATTCAAACACTCTTTCACGTAAATTTATTGGTTGACAGTCCCGGAAGCTATGAAAATGCTGCTTTTCAAGCCACAGGTACAGATGGCTTGCCAAACCAGATATTTCTTTGCGAACTTTGACAGTTTCATGTGCTTGAAAACATCTGCTACCTTTCCCCTTCCTTTTGCCGTATAAAACTCCTGTCCCGGAAGCTGCTTGTAGTCGGCTTTGACGTAGGTTTCGTCGTCCATTACCACGCAGTCAAACTTCGTCAGCATCGTCGTGTACAGCCTCCGGGATCGCGCTTTGGCCGTCGTATTTTGTTTATCATCGCGATTTGGAGTCACTACCTTCTTGTAAGTCGATAGTCCGGCTCGTTTTTTGGCTCGATGCACGGTTGTAGACGATACACCCAGCTTATTTGCGGCATCTCGGAGAGAGAGGTTAGGGTTTCGCTTGAAACTACCGGCAACTCTCTTTGTCGTCTCAGCGGCTTCCGGTTTTCGATTTCCCCCCGATCCAGACTTCCTGGCTGTCGACAAACGTTCCCCAAACACTTTAATTACATTTGTAACGGTTGATTTGGCAACTTTTAGCGATTTTGCCAACTTTGCGTGCGAGTAGCTCGGATTTTCGCGATGCGCGAGCAAAATTTTGATACGCTGCTCTTCTTGCTTGGACGGCATTTTGACAACTGAAGAGTGAATTCCAAAATCAAAACAGGAGCAACATTCTACACACACACACCTTCAAAATGAGGGGTGTTCAGGTTTTTTAAATGCAAAATTGAAAGAAATACGTCAAGTTGATATTGACCAAATTTTGACCGTATCACCCTTTAGGGTATTTCGTACAAGTTTTAGCATGTGTACGGTTTCGAGAAGCACATGCACGTCGTGTCGTGTCGTGTCTAACAAAGGATGCTGGAAAGACGTTGTAAGAGAAGTCAAGTTTCCACGAATGTTACAGCCTAGAGCGTTCGCTTCTGCTAGGTTCGTAGCAGTACCATCGAAAGTAAACGCAACTATTTTCACTCCCGAATCATTGAGACAAATCAACAAGGTATTGATAATGTTTTTTTTTTCTCTTCAGCGTTAAGACCGTTTATTAGAAAATAAGCAATTGGGTTCTTTAATTTTGAAAAATATATCGTTTTTTATATATCATCTGAAAGAGCTTCGTTTTCTGAGCACAGCGATATTTTTATCGAACCCACACACTTACATCTCGATTTTTAAATCAAGATTTAAAGCAAAATAATAACTTCACTGTTAGACACTAAACTGACAAACTGACAGCTCGCTCCCACACAAAGTGACACCGAGGGGCGCTTATAAGGTGATTTTTTGCAAATGTAATCGTACTTATTTAAAATAGTTCCAGTGAACCAAAACTGATGAAATTTTGGGTTTGGGTTCCATTTTTAATGTAGATACTCTTAAATAACCCAATTGGTATCTTCCACGATTGTTGAACGCCAGTAACCATAAAATGAGCTGCTGGTGCCTGCTCAAGAGGTCCTGTTCCTCGAACCGAATGCCTTCTATGCCTTCTAGTTTTTTAGTATGCTCATTCCAGTTTAGCTGCGGGCCATTTCGTCCATCATTAAATAGCCAAGCAACGTTGCTCCTTTGGCCTTCATATCGACAGCTTTCTGTTTTAAGGCATCCAAAGTTTCTTTGGTACTGCCGGCTCACCATTTAGGCTTTCATACCACCTGATTGTGGTAGTGTATTGTTGAATACACTACGAACATATGAATACGCTTTTGGGGAGTAGAAATGCAGTGTCGTGGCGAATCTACGCAATGTGTCACTGCAAACTTGCCTATTCGTACGTGAGCTTAATTCTTCGAATAACGCTTGATTGGATTCAGGTCTGTTGCATCTGATATCATATTCTTAGATGTGATCGCTCGTGCAGGCCTGCCCAATTTATCTCGCAATCGCTTATTCTGACCTCTCAACAATTTTGTGAACGAGAAAGCTGCGCTTGGACTCTCGGAAGAGCGCGAAGAGCTTCATCGAGTGTAACGTTTATATTATAGCATCTCTGTTGGCAATTATCATCATTCTAACATAATTCATAACATGTTTTGATATTTTACCTAGCACAATACATAAAATAATAGAACAAAAATGAACTTCTACGTTTTGGAGCTGTTTGTCTACATCAGGACCAATTTGCCTACATCAGGAACAATAGTAAATGAATGCTGGTTATGTTCGTCAAATCTGGAATCATCATGCGGGCTTTAAATAAATGAATTAAAATATTTTGGCATCTCATCATGGATTGAAAAAGACTGAACATACCTTTCGAAGCGTGTGTTTCTTGCCAGGCTTGAACTGTTTTCGAATACTACTGGTATGGCTGTTTTATGCAGCATTTTTTGCCATTGTCGTAGTAAAGATCATTCTCAAGAAAGTGTCTGGAGCATATTCGGACGGAGTTAAACATAATTTTATTAACAGCACTCACTTTTATGTTAGCCTTCACAATCGAATCCAGCCAAGCAAATCGCGTTTTACATCATTCGGAAATCGATGTTCGGAAAAAATCTTCCTGCTGCTTCCCATCCCGGTACTTGTACGCACGGAAATTACTCTTACATGTAGATACGAAACACTTTCTGTTGCGACGACACGCTGTGAACTGCGCTTATCAAACGAATCGAACGAATTAAATGAAATTTTGGCAAACAAATTTTTATTATCGGCAAAGTAACCACATTTTTTAAGTGATCAACATTAGAGTCGGTGTATAATGAGTCACGCCAAGAGTGAAGCCAAGTCTACCTATTGAACTGTCAAATTGCCTATCGTGCAAAGTAAATAAACATTACGATGCTATGAAAGGTCCACGAAAGGTATTGCAATAAAATATAAAATAAAATTGAAGAAATCATCATAAACACGCAGCGAGCATTAAATGGTCATGGGATACGTTTGGTTTTGATCAGTAATGAGAATTTCTTCTATTTTTTGATAAGATAATTTGACAAAATCACTAATATTATGATTCACTACAGCCGTTATTTTTGGTTCTCGCTAGAAGTCATTTAAAGTTGATGTAGAAGTCCTCTGTTGCCAAGTGAAAAGAAAGGGAATCCTTCGGAAACCGTGATGCGAGTTCAACTGTTTTTCTCTTGGCGTGACTCATTATACACCGACTCTAATCAACATTAAAACAAAGAACATCATCACATGCAATTTTGACATTTGGAATGTGCGAGATGTTGGCTTCAAAAACCGTGTCAGATACCTCGCATAAACGGAGATGCTATAGACTTCTCTGACGTTTGTTAAATGCACAAGTATTAGTGCAGAACTTTAGGTAAACTATAAGTATTAATGCAAGAAAACCTTTGAATTTACTCAAAGTTCTGCACTAATACTTGTGTAATTCACAAACGTCAGAGAAGACTATTTTCAGAGGCAGAGGGATAATTAAAACGATCAAACAAATCTATACAGAGCTGGAAAAAGGGCCTATCAGGTATGATCGATTCTCTTCATCGACTTTCTCTTTTGATAACCACGGCTATGCAAACAGTTTTCGTGCTATAAAGGAGGTTTTTATCTATCGTCCAAATTGTCAGATACAACAGGGAATGTTGTTGCAGCTGAGTTATTAACGAAAGAGAAAGTCGATGAAGAGAATTGATCAAAGCAGATGGACTCTTTTTCCAGCTCTGTATAGAAATGTACAATGCCGCAGCTCACTAAAATATGCCAATATTGCCAATAGCTCGCCCCAGCGAAAGTAAAAAGTAAATTGAATTATCTAGATAGAAAATAGAGCAGGAATTAGGGCGTTTCAGCTTTTGTAAACAATTACTTCTCTCGATGATTTCTAGGAATTCAAGGCATGCCCATGCAAAGCAACATTCTTATCGGGTAGGGGAAGTCTTCTCCTACCCGGGGGTGATGTTGATTTGCGTTGGCGAGCCTTGAATTTTTAGAAATCATTTAAAGAAGTCACTGTGTACAAAAGCTGTTGCGCCCTAATGCCAGCTCTATCTAGAAATAACTCTTCTGCGGGCACACAGCACAATTTCACACTAAATTGTCAATTAATTACCACAGTACTAAGCAATAAACTATAAAGTTCGTCATTACAATCAGTTTGAGATCTCAAATGATTTTAATTCCTGATATTCTGGCATATGATACAGGGACTGCAAGTACGGGTTGTGCTTAGTAGGACGTAAATTTAATTAAAATCCTTACTGCTGTATGGGCAATGTTTTGGTACACTATATACTGTATTCAATACATATAACTTTTAAATCTCTACTAATTCTCTTACATATACAATACTACAAGGCACAGGAGTGATGCTAGAATGATAAGCGAACAATACTAGAAACATGACTAAACCTCAGTACGTCAATGTGGAGAACAAAGCAATAACCATATTTCTTTCATTTTCCCTGCAGGCACGTGACACGGACATTCTAAACGCAGCCGGCACAAGCGACAGGGACTCAAAACCATACCTCAGCCTCGCCTATGCCACTGGGCCATCGCACAATTCGTACTACCAACTGAACGAGGGTCGCGTCAATCCGCTTACCGTGCTGCAGGGAATGACGGTGAAGAAGGAACAAACCTGCAGCGCTGCTGTCCCGATGAACGAGGGTGTCAACGGTGGGGAGGACGCTTCCGTCTTTGCTACCGGGCCGTGGGCGTTTATGCTGTCCGGTGGATACGAACAGAACTTTATCGCCCATGCCATCACGTTTGCATCCTGCATCACCGACGTCTGCGGAGGGGCTTCCAGTGTGGTGATTTCGACCGCGGCATTGCTGCTGGCAATGGTGGCGCGAATTTTTGTCTAGATGGGAATGACGAGTACAAACTAGAGACCACAAAAACCAATTCCACTACTTGAAACGAAACTTAAATCCACTTTACTGTACCACTTTATAATTATAATGCGATTATTAGCTTTACGACCTTGTTGTTTCACATTTTATGTTAATTACTCATTGTTCTAAATAAATTATGGCTTTGCTGTGTTGGAAAGGCAATCAAATGCATGTGATTAAATTCGAAAAAACCGAATGACTCAAACCATGCCTCATCGTTGTTCAACCTACAAAAAAAAAACCACGCACGAAACCAAAAAGCTTCGAAACCAACCTGTTTTTGGAAAAGATGAAGGTAGAGAAGAAAACGGAATACTTATTGCCAAAAACCTGTTCCCTGCGGTTCGAGAAACTGGTAGTCCCACTCTCTGTCGAGCCGTTTGTAATCCCTTTTTATCTGCATTCGTCCGGCCCGGCCACCAGGCAGGCAACAAGAATCAGACTCGTATATTGGCTGCAGTAAGCGCTATAGCTCCGCCCTACCTCCAGCAGCAGCAGCAGCAGCGTGTATGACACACCAACAACATGCACGGCAAGCAGGCAGGCAATAAGCATCAGCAGCTGCTGCTAGCTACCCAAGCCAAGCCAAACGAGCTGAAGGAAGTAGTGGAGAATAATAATAGCAATAAAGGAACAAGCGGCACTCGCACTGGTGAAGGGATCATACGAGGCCATGGAACATGATGAAGTAGCGTGCTTTCTAGCTGTTGATGAATCGATCCATAAAGTTATACTTGCACAGGTGGTGATGCGGTGCAGCAAGCAATGGTTGCGAATGAAGGCTGTTTAACATTATATTTACATTACATTATAATGTTAAAGATAAAGAGAGAAGACAGCGTTTTAATCCATTACCGGCATTTATGGAGTATGTACATTGTATGCGAAATACGCATATCAGCCAAGGCCAAACAAAACAGGCAGCGGGCAGAGAATTAAACCATTAAAGTGTATACGCTGATATGTATGAATATGTATGTGATGAAGAATGGCCTATCATCAATAATGTGTAGCATCAACGAGCCAGTTAATTAAATTACATTATTTGTACGCAATTAACGGGTATGAAACTCTATGGTATTGAGCCTCAGAATTACTACTTTGAGAAACATGATATTTCTTGTTCTATTTGTAATTTAAAACTGAAGGACATGCATAATCCGAACTATACACAAACTCTTCGTAATTGAATGATCACATTAAGTTAATGTTGAATAGAAAGGCGTTTCCATTTTCTGGATTTCCATGGAAGTATATATGCTACACCTAAGATGGCAGCCGCTTTCCAGGGATAGGAGAGCTTAGACCAACTAACTACTGTCTCCAAGATCTTCAAATTGTTACAGAAACCAACTAATTTAAGGTTTGTACTGAACTTCACTGGCGTGCAGAGGGTGGGGCAATTGCCCACCCTTTTAACAATAAGATTTTTATTTCCAAATTTACAAAATTATGATATAAAATAACTTGATTTGAAGGTAAAATAACCTGAACTTGATTTGCGGGTAAATGAAAACCTTTTATTTCGTCAATTCCTTTGAGATGGTGCCTGAAAATTGCACCACAAAGGTGCATGAAGGGACAAACTTCAATGAAACTTTTTGGTCAAAAAATTGCACCGGTGCATACAAAAAAAATCTGGTGTAATTTTTTTTTCAAGGTGGCTCATGGAGGGTTAAAACAAGAGGGCAAATTTAGGGTTAAAAAGTAGAAGGGTCTGTGCCTAGGGGCACGAACGGAAGCTTGACGTAGGACCGCTAGTGGACGGAATAAATGTGAAGAGCATTAAGTTCTTTTAATTGATCAATTATCTATTATCTCAGCTCTTTCCGTTCTTGAATTTTAGGCACACCAAATTTGTAGTAATTTTTTTCAAAGAGAAAGTTGATTAAGAGAATCAATCAAAATCACTTGCACCCCTCCTTCAAGTTTGGTTACAAGATTACAACTCTGGAGAGCATTTTGTGAGATCGTTGGCGGCTTGTGGTTCTGAATATGGACAAACAAGCACAGATAAATTCTATTCCAACTCTTTACTGATGTAAGCTTGATGGCCCTGAAAAAGGGCCGTTTTATTGAAGAGGACATCCATGGCCACTTACGCTTGGCGTCTTTAGTGTAGGTTACAGCATCACGGACCTCATTTTCCAGGAACACCTTCAGCACACCTCGTAGATCAGACCGGAGATACGTTTGACACCACCACGGCGAGTCAGACGACCGATGGCGGTTATCTCGAAGTACTTTGCGATGACGCTTGGCGCCTCCTTTACCAGACCTTTTCCTCTTTGCCACGACCAGTCAATTGTGGTTTGTTAGGTGTGAAGGAGTGGACTAGCCACCACCTTCCTACTGCTGCTATTGCTGTTCACCACGCCGTCAGAAGCAAAAATAAGCTAATGCCATACAGCAGCGCTCTTTTATATCTTTTCAGGTTAAAGCGGAATTATGTGCAACCAAGTGGTATAAAAGCTACAAAGACTCCTCCCATTATGAGTAGTTTGCTATCAAGTAGCGACACTGACTCTTTTCCTTTTGCGTACTCGGCGAATGAGAACGACCTAAATTTGAGTTTAGTTCACTCATAGTCGCCAAAAGTGCAGGAACTCAGCGATGAGTAAATTTGTCTCATGGTTTCCTGTGGAAAACCTAAAAAATATGCCAGAAAATGAAGAAATTGACGAAAATTTTATTCTGTCTCGGAGTAGTACCAATAGACTGAGTGAATCCAATCTTTACTTTTCTCAAATTCGGCAATTTTTCCCTGGAAAATCCTGGAAAAAAACCTGGGAAAACATGAGACAAATATACTCATTGCTGAGTTCCTGCACTTTGTTTCTTATTTCTAAGATAACTAAACTCAAATTTGGGTCGTTCTCATTCGCCGTGATATCACCTTGAAAGATATCGGCGCCGGTGGTTAGCGTGATTACCTCTCACCCCAGCAGTCTGATCACGCCTTCCTTCGGGAAGTAAAGCCGTTGGTCCCTGGTTGAGTTGATGGGTCGATTGGTAGGGTCCAGGTGTGGGAGATGCCTCCCTGGCGTCGGTAGCATTGGCGCTCAGTACGGAAAACAAATCTCGCGTCACTTTTCAATAGGTCCTATCTACATTGATCGATTATCTTCATCGACACTCTCTTTCGTAAATAACTCGGCTTCACAAATGTTTCCTGCCGTCTTCGTCGAATTAGATGCTAGATTGTTGCTTCTTCCATCGAAAATATCTGGCCGTGGCGATTCAAAGTTGATCAAGGTTGATCAAAATAATGTGTACCCCTGCTTCCAGTTTGATTACATGAGCATTTTGTGTGATCGTTGGTTCTGAATACGGACAAACAGGCAGATGAATCCATCCCCCAGAAAAGAGCCGTTTTGCTGCCAAAGACGTAGATGACATCCATGGCCGCTTACGCTTGGCGTGTTTAGTGTGGGTGACAGCATCACGGATATCATTTTTCCAGGAACACCTTCAGCACACCTCGTAAATCAGACCGGAGATACGTCAGACACCGCAACGGCGAGCCAGACGACGGATGGTGGTTATCTCGAAGAATTTGCGTTTGGTTCTGAATATGGCGACGAGTGTGCAAAATATTACGCAATTCCATCCTCCCTATTCGCACGCGCCCGAGGATCGGAGGCGAATGCCACTTCGACTTGTTTCGTCTACTTACTACTCTCTGACGACTGTGCTGGGGAAGCAGCTTATGGATGTAGGTAATTGGTGGATTTGTTAGTTAATTCGACGCTTTTGGACAATGCTGGACATTTACCAGTTTTTCAATAGTTTCTTGTTGAAAATCAACATTCATATGCATTGTTATCGATGCGTAGCCATATTTCTGATCGATTGGTGATAAAATTATAAAAATTGCACCAGGGGTTATTAACCTTCAAAATCTTTCTTAATTTGTTACATGTTCCATTTTCGGTTTTCACAAAGTGTACCCCCATATAGAAATCAAAGACGTAGTCCTATGTATGTATGTATGTAAGTAGCCACCATCCTAGCTTGGGTCTTGCCCTGCATGCGGCTCCACTCAACAGCAAGATCAAATTCCGTCATCATTTTGAATTCAACAAACTGCTGTATGAAGGGCCAAAAAGGGTTGGACGGACCCGTAAGCAGAGGCACTTACGCGAAACCCGCGGGAATAAGAGAATCTCCTTCCAACAATATGATCCAACAAAATGAATAACGAAATTCGCAATACATGTTAAGCTTTCCACGGGATGGTTTGTTTAAGAAGAGCGCGTCAAATTCATTGCAACTGTTGGAGTGGAATGTAACTATCTAAAATGACAGTACACATTCCCTCCTAGACTCCGGTTGGCACTCCACTCCATTGTCCAGTTACAACTTCAATGATGCCCTGATGCTCCCTCCCGTCCCAGTATTTATTGTAATTTACATTATGAATTTATATATAATCATGTTATATATAATGTATATAAAATATGTAGTAAAATGAAAAATATAATAAAAAATAAAGATGTATAACAAAATATAAATAACCTAGATTATTGGGTCCTATACACACACTTTTTGTTTTATGTGCCATGAAATGACATAATGCATCATTGTATGTTTTGAAAATATAATACTAAAGTATTGAATCAATAGACCGAAAATCGAGGTTATTTGGACATGAGACATTATATTTAAAAGGATACTACCAAACCGACCATCAAACGCACTGCCCACAAAAGCAGACACGTCCCCTCGAAAATGCAATCGAGAAATGTACAAGAACAATCCTCAACTGGAACGTACTCACCAAATCAATATATCCGGGAGCGCATTCCCGATGTCGTCGAACGGCAAAAAAAAGGGAACTCATTGAGCAAATTTGTGATACGGAATTTTCACTGAAAACAACCACGAATTTCACCACATCCAACTGCGAAACACGTTCAGAAGCACTTTTGGTACACTTGTACCAACATCAACACCAATCGTGCCAAGCTTTACACGCACCTTGCAGCGCGTACATAAACTGAAATTATAATTTTCACTCGCGATGCCACAAATTTCTGGTCCGGGAGAAACAATCAAACCACGCAGCGCCACACCTTCTGATGCTTGTTATTTTGCAAACATCATGAATCATGTTTTCTTTCTCGATTCTAAAACTTCTCGGAAAG